ATTCCCACTTAAAAATATGAGAGAGGCCTGTAATTTTCATCATAGGTACACGTCAACTATGACAGACAAAATGAGGAAAAAAAATCCAGAAAATCACATTGTAGGATTTTTAACGAATTTATTTGCAAATTATGGTGGAAAATAAGTATTTGGTCAATAACAAAAGTTCTCAATACTTTGTTATATACCCTTTGTTGGCAATGACACAGGTCAAACGTTATCTGTAAGTCTTCACAAGGTTTTCACACACTGTTGCTGGTATTTTGGCCCCTTCCTCCATGCAGATCTCCTCTAGAGCAGTGATGTTTTGGGGCTGTCGCTGGGCAAACACGGACTTTCAACTCCCTCCAAAGATTTTCTATGTGGTTGAGATCTGGAGACTGGCTAGGCCACTCCAGGACCTTGAAATGCTTCTTACGAAGCCACTCCTTCGTTGCCCGGGCGGTGTGTTTGGGATCATTGTCATGCTGAAAGACCCAGCCACGTTTCATCTTCAATGCCCTTGCTGATGGAAGGAGGTTTTCACTCAAAATCTCACGATACATGGCCCCATTCATTCTTTCCTTTACACGGATCAGTCGTCCTGGTCCCTTTGCAGAAAAACAGCCCCAAAGCATGATGTTTCCACCCCCATGCTTCACAGTAGGTATGGTGTTCTTTGGATGCAACTCAGCATTCTTTGTCCTCCAAACATGGCGAGTTGAGATTTGACCAAAAAGTTCTATTTTGGTTTCATCTGACCATATGACATTCTCCCAATCCTCTTCTGGATCATCCAAATGCACTCTAGCAAACTTCAGATGGGCCTGGACATGTACTGGCTTAAGCAGGATTTGAGTCCCTGGCGGCGTAGTGTGTTACTGATGGTAGGCTTTGTTACTTTGGTCCCAGCTCTCTGCAGGTCATTCACTAGGTCCCCCCGTGTGGTTCTGGGATTTTTGCTCACCGTTCTTGTGATCATTTTGACCCCATGGGGTGAGATCTTGCGTGGAGCCCCAGATCGAGGGAGATTATCAGTGGTCTTGTATGTCTTCCATTTCCTAATAATTGCTCCCACAGTTGATTTCTTCAAACCAAGCTGCTTACCTATTGCAGATTCAGTCTTCCCAGCCTGGGGAAGGTCTACAATTTTGTTTCTGGTGTCCTTTGACAGCTCTTTGGTCTTGGCCATAGTGGAGTTTGGAGTGTGACTGTTTGAGGTTGTGGACAGGTGGTCTTTTATACTGATAACAAGTTCAAACAGGTGCCATTAATACAGGTAATGAGTGGAGGACAGAGGAGCCTCTTAAAGAAGAAGTTACAGGTCTGTGAGAGCCAGAAATCTTGCTTGTTTGTAGGTGACCAAATACTTATTTTCCACCATAATTTGCAAATAAATTCATAAAAAATCCTACAATGTGATTATCTGGAAAAAAATTTCTCAATTTGTCTGTCATAGTTGACGTGTACCTATGATGAAAATTACAGGCCTCTCTCATCTTTTTAAGTGGGAGAACATGCACAATTGGTGGCTGACTAAATACTTTTTTTCCCCACTGTACATACTATACTTCTGCCCTTCCCTGTTGACAACCTCTCGGATTTGAAAGACAACTTTTATTTTTCCTTTATAAAATAGAATAACTTTATTGTTCCCTAAATGGAACTTCAACTTTATGCCCCCTCACACACATTCTGTAATATATTATTTCAGTGACTGAGCTCACACTGCTAACAACCTCACAACTCTCCAGCCAGTAATGGAAATAATATAAATGGTATGGCTGTTCCATTCCTCTGTCCCCGCTTCTTCCATCACGCTCCCTTAATTAATCTCCATTCAACTTTCTCCTCCCTCCACATCTGACCAAATTGTCAGCTGTCTCACCCCTCTCTCTCTCTCCTCTATCCATCAGCTACCAAGTCTGTGGAAACTACCCTCTACTCCAACCCAGCAACTCCCTTCAGTTCACACCGTTACACCATTGAATGGTCCTGCAGAGAGAGAGAGAGAGAGAGAGAGAGAGAGAGAGAGAGAGAGAGGAGAGAGAGAGAGAGAGAGAGAGAGAGAGGGAGCGGAGTGAGAGAGAGGAGAGAGAGAGAGAGAGAGTGAGAGAGAGGAGAAAGTGAAAGTGAAAATAGAGAAACAGAAAGAGAGCAACAGGCCAAGGGTGTGAAAATCCTAAGCGGTTGGACCAACTCTGTGTTTAATAACATTACAGTGCAGAGCCTCTTTTTACTGTTACACTTGGCCTGGCTCCGGGTATGGAGCCTCAGTGTAAAGTCTGCCCCACCCCACCACTTCAGCCCCTTTCTGCCTTTACCGGACAGGGGAGAGTTCAGCGCTGGCAGGAACAGCAACAATGACCTCATAGCTGTTTGGCTCTTCCCACCCTGCATGGCTTAACTTTAGTTTCCATCTCCCTGGGGGGCACAGAGGAGGTTCCTGTTCATTAGGTTACACCATAGCAAAATGTTTAGCAATAGAAACTGAAAAATGAGCATGTCTAATTGGAAATGTCAGGTAGCGCCTCCCCGTTTCAGTCTGTTCCGTTTGGTGCCTAATAAATATGACCGAGAGCTTACATTGAGGTTTAGGGCCTCGCTGGGCTGAAGTGGGATGGATGGGTGGAGTAGTGATATCCCTCCCAGGATGCATTTCGTTTCAAGCTCCTCATTCAAAACATTTTATCTTCCTTGAAGTAATCACTGGTCTGACATGACATAGTTGGTGAATGCAATGCAATGGAAATCTAGCTGACACCAGGTTCATCATGTCAGATCAGCGATAACTTCAAGGAAGAGAGGAAAGAAAGAGACATTTGAAGAGTATTCCAACAGGACCAAAGAGTGACAGAGATGCTCCCTCCCCTCTGCCCTTAGATAGAGAGAGAAGAGAGAGACATGGAAAGAGACATGTAGCCAGCTGACTTCCCCCTGTCCCTTCCGACCTCTCTGTGAACAAAACAACAGACGGAGCAAAACAAAAAGCCATTTCAGAGCGACTCCAGAGTGCAGGGAAACTTCAGCAGGGTCATTGAGACTACAAAGTCAAGTGACGGTAAATACTGGGAAATATAATACCACTTTTGAGGTTAACTGTAAGGACTTCTGGGATCTGGGCATTCATAAAGCATCTCAGAGTGTGATCAGTTTTGCCTTTTAGATAATAATGAATAAGATGATATGGACAGGGGGGGACCTGACACTAGATCAGCCCAGCTACTTTGTGACGCTTTATTAATACAGGCCCTGAACTTAAGATGAGAACAGAGGACACATCACACTACCACAACACCCTGTGTGATGATCCTAACTTGGCGTCAGGACATCAGCGCATTACACTCAAGTGTAATCACATAGTAGGTTCTGAAGGACATGCCCGACCGTGTGGCATCTGCTACATGGGGGTGACATGAC